AATATATAATAAATGATATAAACAACAGATATAATAAAGATATAATAAATGATATTCGTGTTCTATTTGGAAGATTTGGAAGATTTAGCAGATTTGACAGATTTGACATATTTAGCATATATGTCATATTCGACAGGTCTGTCAGTTTCTACCGGTTTCAACGATCAAAATGCTGATCGAACAACTTTGAAATGGCCTTATGTAACCCATAGTTTCCAAATATGGCAATGATCTGAGGCCTCGTATTTTGAAACACGTCATCGAATCGATCAGAAAATCCAGTTTCTATCCGGTCAATCCTGTGATACAAACGGATCAATCTGAATCTGGTCAAATTTCGGATGGATGACCGGATATCCGGATTGATCGGATTCGGAGCATTGGACTAACAATCTTTTCAATTCTTTCTACGTCGATTTCATTGGAATTATTTGAATAAATATTTTTCCGTTGTTTCGCTCGTTTTTCATTTCTCTTTGTGCTTCTTGTCCATTTCTGAAAAAATGAAATAATATGACCAAACAAGTTTGCACTCAGTACTCTCAACAATAGAAGAGTTGACTTTCAACGAACAAGTTGTTTGATGTTAAAGAAAAGTACGTAGCAGGTTCCTCCTCCAGAACCAGCAGGTCTTAAAACAACTTGAAAAAAAGAAGCACCACTCTTTTACGGTTATCAAGAATACTTTTTGCTTTTTCGCGGAGAGGAGGTTTTAGTCCACTTCTCAGTTGGCTCATCGCTAAAAAATTCCATAATGAAAACGCGTAAAGCCATAAACTTTCTAAACTAAAGGCTATTTCAATCGGTGGTTGGTGTAACCCGATCAGACCCACGTGACGAAATTTTCACTGCAACGTGCACATTTTACTCTTGTGGGCTTAACATATTTGCTTGCTAATATTTTTTTTTGTCTATTAAAGCCACAGAGAGGAAACTCACTCTCAAAAAATCCACCTGCTTACGATGACAACATTGAGGATGAGGATTCAACCACCGAGAAACTAACATTCGATCTACACATTGCTAAATTATCAGAGCAACTACAACTTATCAAAATCTTTGAACGTTTTCAGATATATCTTTTGTGCGTCTAGATCGTTCGTGACTATACACGCTCTTATTGTATTGAAAGGCCTCTTCTATTGCAGTAATTCCAAAATACAGTTTTACTGATTTCCGATATTAATTTAACGTTCAAGACACAAGACTGAAGTTAACACGGAACAATAGATCAAATTTTCAAAATTTTTTTTTTATAAAATATTGATGAAATCATCCGGTAAATTTCTGATTCTGATTTACTGCTAAAACGAAATTTTCCAAAATGAGTTGTGTATTTGTAATACGATCTTTACAAGTATGTGGGTTGACGTTTTTAACATCAATCACAAAAGGGAGATTATTTAGGATAACTTGACATTAAAGATTATTTTTATTATTAAAAAAGGATTTAATAAATCTTTAAAAACTATTATTAATCATTTCATTAAAAGAATTATGATCGTTGGCAAAATATGATTCCTCCCCTAAAACATTAAAGGCACCCTTATAAGCTTCCATAACAATTTTCTTTTCTTCTTTCAATTTATCTATTACTTGTTTATAACTCCATGCTCTTAATTCTGGTGATGAATCGTTTCCATGTGAATTTGATGAATTCTGAGATCGATTCAAATATCCCATTAAAGTACGCACATTAGAATATGCATTTAAGGTTTCATGAATTAAATTATTTACACCACTAATTTTTCTTGTATAAGCTCCCGATGTAAATGTGATATGATGTTGATGTTCTTGTGATTCATTACCACCATTTGTGACTCCAAACGAGCTCACTCTACTTGATGTAGAAGATCCTCCCACTCCCATACTTAAAGTTTTAACTCTATCAACTTTTGCTGATTTTAAAATAGAATTTCTTCCCACACCACCTTTTTCTAGATTTTTATTTAAAGCCTGTTGAAAACCTGCTGGAGGACCTCCCCAACTTTTCCATTTGGATCTTCTAGATGATTCTTTATAAACTGATGAGGTATTACTATTAAGTGAAGGTGATAGCGGAATATTATCAAGCGCGGATAGTCTATTACTCAAACTATTTGCTCCTATCGATGCATTCTGTAACTTTTGATGTATAAAAGTACGTAAATATAAGTTAATCGGTAATTTATAAAACAAAAGCAACTCCAAAAATGTCCATAAAACGAAATCATGCGATGAGGATGAAAATGACGATCGTGAATTATGGAAATTGTTTAATCCCACCCCTCCAGGTGAAGATGGATGATGTTGAAAATGTAAAGATGACGTTCTATCGACACTGTGATCATTCACTTCACTACTTATATGTACACTTGTATTGCTACCCGCAGGCGTTGCTCCTAAGGAATATAATCCTGATTTGATTTGTGACGTTCCAGCTGTACCTAATATTTGTCTTACGAATTGGCTAATATGAACCCACATTCCTTTCGTTTGTGTTAAGTATTTTTCGGCGCGTACAAGTACAATCTTTAGAGCCGTGAAACTTATTATAAATGTAGCCGCAGCTTCCGCTGTCGTGGGAAGAGATCTATTCGTAACATTTTCGTCATTATTATCATCATCCTTGTCATCAAGATTTTGTTTCGAATTATTGCCACGGAGGGTAAACGTTATTTTTGATCTCATGATGGACTCTTTATTACATCCTTTTGTAATATATGATAATAAGCGAGTCCAACTACTTTTCGCCTTCAATGTGGTGGGATGATTGGCATTTGAATTCATTGAAGTAAAGTACACATCTTCAGGCAAATATTGAAGACATATTGGAATCACAACATATGCCATTAATTGGTGTGAAGGTATATATTTGTCTAATTCACTTAAAATATCTTGATCGGAATGAATCATGAGAGCGACGAATAATTTGACAAGACTATTGCACAATTTAAGTTGCATTGACTCGCCATCTTCCCAATCCGGTTTTAACGCAACAGACAGGCCAAATGAAACAAACTTGTCTTTTAGCGTAAAAGACACGATGTGATCATTAATCACAAATCTGCATTTGTCTGATGTTATTAAGACCAGACCTTCGATTAACCCAGAAAAATCAATTATCTTGTAATGTTGACGAAATGATGTTGACATTTGTTTCAAAAAAGACATTATTGGTTTCCTTCCATCTTCAAATGTGGTGTTGAAGAGTAACACATCCGTAATATAATCCTTTAAAAAATTTGTCGAAACCTTTATTTTGACAGCAGCATAGTCTTTGAGCATCAACCTAATGATATTTGCCATCCTATTATGTGAACTATCAGATAACATTCCTCCATATTTTTTGTAAGTTTGCACTAATATTAAGAATTGTCTCTTTATTGTCATTCGATCATTCTGTTGCCATTGTTTGCCGAATGCTTGAGTCGTCACCTCCGAAACAAATGGTTTATTCGTGGATGAATTTTCCATTGTTTCATTATTGTTCTCGGGATTCGTTGTAGAATGAATAATTGGTTTAGAAGATTTTGAAAATTTAAGGAATACTTCAGTTAAAGCTGTCATTCCTTCGTCCACCAATGTACGAACACTAGAAGACTCTGCTAAAAGGTGTGGTATGAGGTATTGCAGTATTTGGACAAATTGCTCAGCTCGGAGCGAGCCAGGATCGTAAGCAATAATAGTTAAAAATAATCTAACTAAATCTTCCAATGAAAATGTTTTATCATTTAACGTTCCTAATAATCCTCCCTTGAATTTTGTTGCGGAACTATTAGCTCGCCTCCTAATTGTATTGTTGAGTAATGGAGGTGGATCAAACGATAACGGATTGGTAATGTGTAATTCATCAATCGCATCATATATACCTAGGTAGTCCATGTATTTCATGGGAGTGTTTAAAGCTTTAAAAAGCTCGTAAAGAGATGAAGATAACAATCCTCCAACTTTTGTTGATTTGGCCGACCCTTTTAATATTAATGGAGTTAAACTACCAAGAGTTTGAAAAATGAAAGATTCCCCGTGTACTTGAAAAAATTTATACCATACAAATGTAATAGCTAATCTAATCGGGGGAATTTTTTCTGATTCACAAAAGACTTTGAACAATGCGGGAATAAAGATCGAATATCCTCGATTATTATCAAACAACCTACGAAATCTTGTGATGACCGTCATGTACAAAACTAAGGTTTGTCCCACAATCCCAAAATCATTTGCATGTTCCAATAGAATATCATTAGCACCACTCAAAAATATATTAAGCTCACTACGATCGTTATAATTGGTATTTAATCTTTTTAGCATTGAAAGTAAAAAATTTAACCACGATCTCGCCCGTAACGCTGATATTAATTTAATGTCCTTTTCTTTCCTTGACAAGACGTCTTTAAAACCACTGTTTCGTTTTTGTGACTTCTCCATATCTGGGAAATACTTCTCCTCTTCGTTTATCGCATCCGATGAATTACCATTAACATTTGTCAAAGGAGTTGGAGCAAAGGTTTGAATCATTTTTTTCACGGAATAAACCTCTCGCGGACATTTTATTACATAATTTGTCATAAAATGTATATGTCCAACTCGAAGCATAGCCACTTGAAACATGACGAGCGGGACATCAAGAATATGAAATGTGACTTCATTATCAGTTAATTGTCTCGGAAACATTGAATGTGGGGTCCCATCAGTAAACCAGAATTGTCCATTATTACAGAGAATATTTTCAATTTTATTTTTCCTGAAATCTCTAACGATTATTTCATTAACCGTTGGAACCATCTCCGCCAATGTAGGGATAACGTAAGTCATTAATCCCAATCCATTTTCTTTGTTATCTCTTGAATACCATTTCAATATACCAGCGAGATGATTGAATAATATATGGGTAAACCCCGGAGGAAAAACATGTTGCATCGAAATAAGGAAGTGTATACTAGTAAGAAGCTTTTTCTGCGTCTCAAAATTAAATGTGCCTAAATCGCTGAAAAACATACGAAGAAATAGAAGAGGATCATCTCGAAGAAAGTACATAATAATTTCTTTAGTGAGATTGTATACACCACCGTGCATATCATCCAACAGATCAAGAAGCCTCAAAGAAAAGGAACTTAAAATAGGTACTGATACATTTCTTCTCCTGTTTGCATTTCCTTGTATATGAGATGTAGAAGCATCACCGCGAACATTCCTCCTAATTTTATCACGTGTAATTTGTAACGCTTCAGATTCCTCTTTTTTCTTAAATTCTTCTTCATCAAGATGAAAAGTGGGTAAAAGTGATATTGGTGTTAAAGTACGTTTTGAACGTTCCAAATCAACTTCATCATCATCATCCCATCCTAGCTCTTCTATCTTTTTATTCACAACATAAGATAATGAACCTTTATGTTTTAATTCTTTTGGAGAGTCATACATCATTATTCCTGGAGTACCTAAATCGGTCGGTACGAAAGGTATTGCAGGTGCTTGCGTTCGAAATGGACGTTTTCGATTCGAATCTGATACATAAGGTTGCGATAAAAGCTGATTCCGGTGACCAAACAGAGAGGATATTTTACGAAGAGTCATAGCACGAACTAGCGCATTTGTACTGTAAAACAATCAATTAACGAGATTTACGGATATAAAAGTTAAAAATAAAATAATTAATTTACCTGTACAAATCGTTCATAATCAGTTCCTTAACAGTTTCAGGAGATTTTTCACCGCACAGTATGAAAAGGAATGAGGCGGAAGCAAAAGGTTTGTGCTCCCTATCATTTAAGAATTTATTCCATATATGCGGTGCTAACTTAGTAAATTCTTCCACGGTTATAGTGTGATACACGGCAACAAGCAAAGACAAAACCGAAACTGCGGGATCTTCAATAAATGTATTGAACCTATGAAGATGTTGTTTAAGTAATTTAGACGAAATTCTTGGTAGCGCGTTAATTGCAGGGTCTGTTAGTGGAACTACAGCTGAGCTTCGCCTCATATCACTATATGGATTTATGTGAGTGTGAGGTGTTGTAGGAGCAATAGGTACTGATTTCGGTATTATAGGTACTGGGACATCTAAAAATTCGTCCTAATTCCACAAAAAAAAGAAGTTTTTTTTTAAAAAAAT